TGTAAATTTAAATGAAGCCGCGATTATTTAAATCGCCGCTTCATTTTCCTATGTCTGGTAGCCTCATCTACATGCCTCTGGCAACAGAGGCATGTAGTCTAGACGTGCCCTCAGATAGCCTCAGGCAGCAGCTCTAGGAAATGGATGCTGTCCTGATGCCCTGTTTGGAGTGCTTCTAGGGAGCTTTAAATGTGAATCTGCCTCCAATCAGTGTGGATGCCCTGTTTTGATATACGTCTGTGTAATTTAGATGGGCCTTTATGGTGTGGACCTGCTATTTCAAAATAGCTATTTTGGGAATTATTATTCTGAAATTGCTTATTCTGAAATAAGTGCATTGTGTAGACCAGGGGTGGCCAACTCATTTAACAAAGAGAGCTAAAACAGTGGTGGAAAAAATGTGAAGAACTGCACCAGAATTGTCAAGCAAAAACAAGCAAACAAACAAAAACCCAGAACAGAAAAGTTGAGCAAAACCAAAGAAATTATTTTTTAAAAAGGAGGCTGCCCCTTTAAGATGGCTGTCATCTTGGGCGCCATTTTTAAAACCCCTCAGCTCTGACCCCATGAGCACAGGGAAGCTGGAGTCCAGGGGGGAGCAGGTGGAGGATGGGGGCCATTGCGAGGGGCCACAGCAGCAGCTTTGTGAGTTGCACTTTTGCGGGGCAAGAGCTGCACGTGGCTCGCGAGCCGTATTCCCTAATAAAATCGTTTTAAAGCAAATTTTAAACTAAGGTCCCATAGCCAGAAACTGACAGGATATAGTAGAGGTTGGCAAATGTCTATGAAGTGGCTTCATTACCATGTGAATGGTTCATTCACAGGTTTGATGTTCTACTAATAGCTCTGGCAGGCTTTTTTACTTTTAAGCTAACCAGAGCCTCTCTAGAAGAAGCAGAGCCACAGAAGAGGGATAGGAAGAGGCATGTAGGGAACATTAAAACTCAGGGATGCCCCAGATTTTCAGGTGCTCTACTAAACTACGCATTCTGTGTATGGATAAGGATGACCCTGCTTCCCTGTACTGTCTCTAGTTTATGGACATCCTCTATGAATTTTGGGCACCAGAACAGGACACAGTAGTCAGTAGGAATAGATAGGTTATTTTAACCTCTGTACTTGTGCAACCGCTATTGAAATTCAGTGTAATGTATTGAAATACTGTAGAAAGTCCCAACAGAAGCTGGTCCAATAGAATATATTACCTGACCCACCTTCACTCTAATATCCCAAGCCCAACATGGCTTCAACAGCTGCATCCAATAAGGCATGTTGTGTATGATTTTGACCTCTAGGTGGCAGTTTCTGTCTGTTATACCATGCATAGCTGGTGCTGGTGAGCAGATTTCCGGTGTGTGATGGAATTAGATAACTGCAGGGTGACTCTGTGCTCTCTGTGCATCTGCTGTGAACAGAAGGAGGAGACCATGCAGAGAACAGGAAGTTTTGCTCCTGCTCACATGGTGGGTTTGACCCTGAAGATACTCACTGGCCCCAGGCCTCTGCTCCTCATGCTGTTTTTGACACTTTGACGGTGATTACTGGCAATTCTCCAGTGCTGTTACTCACAGTGGTGGATAAAGTACTCCCAAAAGTCACCTAAGTAAAAGTACTGCTAATTTGAAAAAAAAATGTAACTAAGTAAAAGTCAAAGTATCCGTCTGGAAAACTGCTTAAGTGAAAGTACAAAAGTATCGCATCTTAATTGTACTCAAGTATCCAGAAGTAAAAAGTAGCCATCCTATGGAAATCTATGGTTAACCACCCGAGTTATCGTAAGGCTCCATTATTTTTCATACACTCAATGTGCATTTATATATATGCAAATATACTTGTATATGTGAAATAACAACAGCTGTTGATGAAGAAGATGCTCCTTCTGGAAAACTGTACATCGGGGTGGGGAACCCTTTTTGGGTCGGGGGCCACTGACCTATGGAAAAATCAGGTGAGGTCACACAAGTGGAAGGCAACACCCCCCCAAAACAAACAAAGACTCCTCACTGACAGCAGCAGGGAAACTCTCTCATGAGCAGTTTCCAACACCGCGTTCCCCCAGCCAGGGGAAGGTTAAGCAGCACCATATGGTACTGTGCTGCTTCTCCCCCACACACTGGATCTGGATCCTGAAGCTCAGGGCTTCCCCCTCTATGCCGGTGCACCAACCTCCTGACATCCTCCCATGAGGCTGGAGCACACAAATCTACTAGCCTGGGCCCCCCAATGCTCTAGTGTGTAAGGGGAATGTCTTTCTTCTTCTCAGCTGGGGGCCACATCAGTGAGGGTTCTGGGTTCCCCCCCCCCCTTTCTCACTTGTGTATGACCCCTGACTGATTTTTCTGTGGGTCAGTGGCCCCTGACCCAAAAAAGGTTCCCCACCCCTGGATTAAATATTTTCCCTCAGAGATGACACACAGAAAGCCGCTGCTCCACACTAGCACACATCCAGATAGCAGGGTTGCTCCAAATCCCAGCCAGCCAGCACTCAGAGGGAAGCTGCGCATGCGGACACAATTCTTCAATCCCCACCAAACTCAGCTGCCCTCCCCGAGCCTCTTCCAGCACAGCCTGCCCTGCCCTCTTGCCACAGGGCTTCTACAGGGGGCCCTCTGTCCCAGGGAGAATGGGGAGCGCCTGCCCTGGGCACCTACCCTGCTGCTGCTCTTACCAGAGAAGAGGATTTATCTGACACAAGGAAGTGCCTCTGTCCTCCCTGACCTTGGCTGAGGAGGCTGCTGGGTTTCCTTCCTATTTAACTGGTTGATCCCAGGTAAGGTCACATGACACTGTTCAAATGCACCTCCTTAACACATCCCCCTGGGCAGTGGCCTCAGGCTGGCAGTGCCTGCACAGATAGGGTACGTCTAGACGACAGGGTTTTGTCGACAAAGCTTCTGTCGACAAAGAGCGTCTAGACTACATCCAGTTCTGTCAACAAAGCAAGCTGCTTTGTTGACATAACAGTGTGGACTCAAAACACAGTGTAGATGCAATAATGCCTTCTATCGACAGAACTCTGTCAACAAAAGGCATTATTCCTCAAAGAATGAGATTTACATACGTCGACAAAACTGCTGAGTTTTGTTGACGTTATGTCAACATAACTCAAAGGCAGTGTGGACACAGGTATAGTTTTGTTGACAAAAGTCCACTTTTGATGACAAAACCCTGTAATCTAGACACACCCATACTGTTTTTGAATGAAAAGGCGTTAATACGCTGTTAAAGGGCTTCATTGTTGTCAGGGTCGTTGGGCTGCTTGTTTTTTTTTTTTTTTTTTAAGATGACTGGGTGCTTGCACAAGAAGCTGTGCTTAGGGAAATCAGAATGATGAAAGTAGTGAGTAACTTGGGATGTGTCTAGACTACATGGATCCGTTGATGGAGCCATGTATATGAGTTTACTAGACATAGCAAAATGAAGCGGCGATTTAAATAATCGCCGCTTCATTTACATCAAAATGGCTACCGCACTGTACTGATCAGCTGATTGTCGGCACAGCGCGGTAGTATAGACGGGGATCAGCCGACCCCAGAACCCTTTGTTGTTAGATCCTTTATGCCTCATGAAATGGCACAGCACGGCAGCCATTTTGATATAAATGAAGCAGCAATTATTTAAATCGTTGCTTCATTTTGCTATGTCTAGTAAGCTTATCTAGTAAACCCAACTTAGTGTAGACACACCCTAAGTGCTTCCAGAAATAATAATGGAGTAAAAAGTATGATATTTTCTAAAAGAAACTACTTCGGTAAAAGTCAAAGTATCACAAAAATAAATTACTTGAGTAAAGATCAAATACTGAAAAAATGTACTTGAGTAGTGTAACAAAGAATTTCTACTTAGTTACTCTCCACCTCTGGTTACTCACTGGAAGAGTCCATTGTAAATGCCATTTTAAGTTGTTTTGTTTAAACCAGAAACTACACTAGTTTCTTGTGATTTTGCCTCTATGTCCTTTGTCTAATGAAGGTTTGCCAGGGATACTCAAGTAAGCAATGGAAACTCAGCAGCACTCACCCAGAATATTTCTTTAGTTTGCTTTTGATTTATTCTGAAAACACCACTCCAAGCTTTGCCACACATACAAACACCCGAACTGAACAAACTATATTTTCTGGTCATAGCAGGGTAGCTCTGTTAGCCTGTATATGCAAGAACAATGAAGAGTCCGGTGGCACCATAGACTAAGAGATTTCTTTGGGCATAGACTTAAGCACAAATAAATCTGTTAGACTATAAGACGCCACAGGACTCTTTTTCCATATTTTCCAGTTAATTGCCTCTTCTAGGTGCCTTGGGTTTTCTAAAGTGAAGACAAAAAAATGAAATGGACTGTTCTTTGCAGCACATTCAAACTGTGAAACAACATAATGTGCAAATTAAAAAAAATCATTTCAGCGTCATGCAGGAGACTTTAACATGCTGTGAATTGAAAATGAGGCTCTATTTCTGTTCAGACTGTCCTCTGGGGTCAGAGTTTATTCTGAATAAATACTCAGGCCTGCCCCACCTCCTTTCTATTGCCCTGGGAAATACATAGGGGAAATATACCAGCAATCAACTGAATAGACCATGAGGTGTCATCTGTTCTGCATACATTTACTCTCAAATGTCCCCTTAGCTCAGAGCAGGGCTGTTGGGTCTATGCCTGCCTCAGGTATGAGGCACTTGTTTTCCACCTTGCTAAACCATAAGGTAATTGCTCCAGCGGAACCCACTAGTGTAAAACCCATGGGAGATTTGCTAATCAAGAGGGCTATTAACATAGGACAGGAAGCGAACGGACAAACAGAACACTACTACGTATGCTCTGGGGTTCCGTTTTTTGGTGAAGGAGTCAGAGTGCTACATAGGGCCAATTACATCCCAGAAACATGGGGGTTTTAGACTTATGAAAGTGATGATCGTGATGAAAAATGACCCCACTTCCCACCAAAGACAGCAACAGACACTGCTTGAATGCACTGCTCTTGTCTCAGCTTCACGTTACTTCTTCTGGTTTTGAGCCTATTAACATTAAAATTAAAGAAGTATCATTAAAATGCTGACAATGAATCTGATCTTGCATCATTGTACCGGGGAGAGTTTTGACCTTGAGTTATATGATTCCTGGATCGGGACTTATTCAGTGTTCTTTGGCAATGATCACTTAAGGAAGCTTTGGCAACGAAAGTGCTGTCAACATGGAAAAGTTGCTAAAAGTGAAAACTGGCCAAACTGTTTTTTTCTGCTCCCATGTTGACATTTCATGGCCACATGGCCAGCACCCTGTCAACAGCTAAAGCAAAGCAGTGTGGGTTGGCATCCTGCAGTGCAGTGTTGTGGGAAAGCAGAGCTGATCCCTGAGCTTCTTGGAATTCTCTGGTAGCTCTGTGAGTTCTCCCTGCTAGGGAATGGCAAAGCAGCGCAGAATCTGTCCGCCTCCTCCTGCAGCAGCAGTCTGCCTGCTGCAGTGTTCCAAGTGTGGAGAAGAAAAGAAGCATCCCAGTGATTTGTTAGATGCTTCTTGGAGTTCTGAAATGAGTGGGGTGCATGCCTGCAGGGCAGCAGAAAGCACAAAACACTGTGCAGAACCATCAGGGCAGGCATTGTGGGATATTGGAGGAAGCCAGTTCTATTTTTTTTAAAAAACCCAACAGAGTCCACACTGGCTCTTTGTCAACAATAAAGGGAGGGGAAAAAACAAAAGTCTCTTTCAAAGGTGGAAGGTATTCCACCCTAAAATTGGGTGCTTTTCAAACAAATGGTCACATTGTAGTGTAAACACACTAGTTATTTTGTCACCAAAAGGCAGGTTTTGGTGGCAAAAGAGTGCCAGTGTACAGAAGCCCTTCTACTGCAACAATGACTCATCATAGTGCCCAATAAGCACTCTGCAGGCTACACGACAAATCGTTTCTGTGCAAAGGGTTGGGGAGCTCTCTGCAATGTTCCAGGCAGAAAATAAATCTCTCTCTGACTCCAGCTACCTACATATTTACCTGGCTCACAACATCAAATACAAATGCACTTTTAACAGCCTCTTGTTCCTCTCATAGACTGGAGGGGGGAGGTGCCAGAAAGCAAAAAATGAGTAGGCAGCACATTTGCAAAAGGGGCTGTTCTCCAGTGCTAGGGGTTTAAAGAAGAATCAGAGGGTCCCAGGCTCAGACCCGTTTGCCTCAGGAAGCCGAGCTCATCTGGATCCACCATAGCCTGGGCCCATCTGCTCCTTGCACTGCTCACCTACTACTCAGGTGCTCAGAGGATGGGGGATTAATACACACTGTGCTTCAGGAAGCTCTTTTTTTGGGCTTTCCCTCATTCATTTCCCCTTTCTCGATTCTCTTTCTGTGTTCAGTCAGGACGTGATAATTGTTTAATTCCTGTCCTTGTTCCAGGGGCCAGCGTCCAGCCCACGCTGACTCAGCCACCTTCAGACTCAGTGTCCCTGGGAAACACGGTGAAGTTCTCCTGCACCCTGAACAACAGCACAGCAGCTACGTTGTTGGCTGGTATCCACGCCCAGCCCACGCTGACTCAGCCGCCTTCAGACTCAGTGTCCCTGGGAAACACGGTGAAGTTCTCCTGCACCCTGAGCAGTCAGCACAGCAGCTACATTGTTGAATGGTATCAACAAAGGGATGGCCAAGCCCCTAAGTTCCTTTGGCTCAGTTCTGGCACCAAAGGAGAAGGGGTCCCAGATCGATTCACTATTTCCGACTCCGGAGCCATTCGCTATTTAACCATTACCAACGTCCAGCCAGAGGACGAGGCCACTTACTACTGTGGTGCAGATTACAGCATTGGTAGCAGCTCCGGGTAACCCACCATGTCACAGTCAGAGGGGGAACTGAGACAAAAACCCTCCCTTCTCCAGCCTCGCTTTGCTGGATCCCTCACTCTCTGCAGAACTTTGCATTTTACTTTCAATAAACCAGCTGATGTTTGGTCACAGAGAGTTCCAGCTTCCCGCAGGCTGAGAGGAGACGTCTGCTCCCGCTCCCACTTCACAGCCTCTGCAGAGGGGCAAAGCAGCTTTTACATGCAGCTTCCTTACTTGGCCTCTGCAAGGGGCATAGACAGCTCAGTCTCCTGCTGTCAACAGCCCAGACCTCTCTTCCCAAAGCCCTCACTGACAAGTAACAAGGAGGTGTTGTAACTTAAAAAACAAGAATCGGTCGCTGCTGAGGAAATGCTATTCATTCATGACATTTCACCCACATATTGACCAAAACATTCTCTGCTCTGGTTCTTTGCGGTGGACTTTCTCTTCCATGCACAATGGCTGATCTCCCACTTAAACAGAGAGATGGGTCTCAGAGACAATTAGAGAATAGGATAAATCACAGCAGGGCTTACTGCCTGTACTGATAAATTGTCCCTAATCTACCACCGTTTTCCCACCCACTACTGTGAGTTGCCCAGTGACTCGTTTCCTGGCTGTAACTTAGAGAATTGTGATCCTGCAGCTGATGTAGTTTGACAGGGATTTGAAAGGACCAAATGTAAGTTTCCCCAGTACATAGTGTGGAAATTCTGCTGCACTTGTCTTTTGGAAATGAACTTGAAAAAAATGCAAAATCTTCAATTTTGAGGGTTATTTTCAATATCTAATTTAAACTAAAGCATAAGTTGGAGCTTGAATTGGACGTCAGTCTTTCTATACTGGTTAAAATTCAGGAGTTCAATTTTCAGAATACTTGCAGCCAATGAACAGGGAGCAGATTTGCATGATGGAATCATTCTCTAGCACTGGGGGTTTACAGAGAATTGTAGGGTCCCAACCACAGACACATTTGCCTTAGGAAGCTCACCCTTTTGGTTTCACTGGCTGATTCCTGTGGTATCTGGAAGAATTTTCCTTCTTCCCAGGAAAAAGCATAGTTGTCACCCTCTGAACGCCAGGCTGGTGTTCCTCAAGGATGATTATGAATTGCCAGGAGCTCAGATCCAAGGGCACTAGAGATCCGGGTTACAAGGCAGGATTGGGGTGAAAGACTATTATTGTAAAGCAGTAAGTTCTGCAGCTCAGGGGCCTGCTGGAAATTTCTGTGAATGACCTGTCCCACCAGGGGGAGCTCTTTGTCTGCAATGTCCAATGTCCAGGCCTAAGGCTGTAAACAGCCGGGTACAGTTTATCTTCAAAGAAATCTCCCATTTGCAATGGAGTGAAACCAACCTCAGGCATCCCCCTCCCCTTTCTCTTCTCCCCAGGACCTCTCCCTTCTCCAGCTACAGATGCAATAACTGTTTAATTCCACATTCCCTTGGGACGAGCACATTTCGTTCTGGAGGTGACAGTGACCTGTCCCTCTGCTGATGCGTCTGAGAGATCAGGGCAGAACACGAGCCCCAGTGGGAGTTTTCCAACAACTTCCCTGTTTCCATCCCAGCTCCAGCTACGTCCCCTGGTGTGAGCCCCCTGGGCTGTGTCCTGTGCCCCTGAGTCAGAACCAGCCAGTCCAAGGCATCCCACCAGAGACATGAGGGAGGTGACAGCTGACCCAGAGTGACTGGGACCATAAGCGCTCCCTGCTCATTCAGTGCCAGTGGGTGTGCGCAGGGATTCCAGGAGTTTCAGGGGTCAGTGACATTTCATCGTAATCCACGTGTGCTGTGTTGGTAAATGGGCGACTGCAGGTGTCCCGGTCGGAGCTCCGTGCACTGCGATCATGTTGGTTTTCTTGGAGCAAATGATGCAGCAGAGGGGCCTTTGTAACTTGTGTCCCGTGGGACGTTACACAGTGATTCCACGCAGCCAACCTGCAGGGCTCAGCTTTAAGAAGGAGGCAGTTTTGCATGAAGGGGCTGGTCTTCAGCGCTGGGGGTTTAAGAGACAATCGGAGGGTCCCAGCCACAGACCTGCCTCAGGAAGCCGAGTTAGTTTGGATCCACCATGGCCTGGGCCCCCCTGCTCCTCGCCCTGCTCACTTACTGCTCAGGTGAGGGGTTGTTGGCTGCACTGACACAACATGGAGGCCACCTGCAGGTGAGGAGGTTTGTGTGTGAGGAGCCGGAGTCCTTGTGCTGAGTTTGTTTGTTCCGTTGCTTTCAGGGGTCAGGTCACAGCCTGTGGTGACTCAGGAGCCCTCCATGTCGGTGACCCCAGGAGGGTCCGTCACGCTGTCCTGCAGCCTGAGCACTGGAGCCATCACCACCGGCAACTATCCAGCTTGGTACCAGCAGAAACCTGGCTCTGTTCCTCTGATGCTTATTTATGAAACTAATAAGAGACCTTCTGGGATCCCTGCCCGTTTCTCTGGGGCCATATCCAGTAACGATGCTGCCCTGACCATCACCGGTGTGCAGGCAGAGGAAGAGGGTGACTATTACTGTATGGTATGGGCTGGTAGTGCGCACACAGTGATATAGCCAGAGAGGGAAGTGAGACAAAAACCTCTTGTGTCTTACACACACCATTTCCTCCAGCTGCACATGCTGCGCAGTTTGGGCTTTGCCTGGTATAGGTGAGAAACCGATTGCTCCTCCTTTGGAAATTCTGCCATCCATTGTCATCAGTAGGGGCTGATGCTCCATGCACTCAGCATTCACTCAGCTATTCTTACGCTCTCTGCTCACCCTGGCTGTGTCTAGACTGGCCAGTTTTTCTGGAAAATCAGCCATTTTTCCAGAAAAACTTGCCAGCTGTCTACACTGGCTGCTTGAATTTCCCCAAAAGCACTGACAATCTCATGTAAGAGAAATACTATGGAAATACTATGCTGTTCCCGTTTGGGCAAAAGTCCTTTTGTGAAAAACTTTTATACAAAAGGGCCAGTGTAGACAGCCCAGATTTGTTTTGTGCAAAAAAGCCCCGATCGCGAAAATGGCCACTTGAATTTCCACAAAAGCACTGACGATCTCATGTAAGATTGTCAGTGTTCTTGTGGAAATACTATGCTGCTCCCGTTCAGGCAAAAGCCCTCTTGCGCAAATCATTTGCGCAAGAGTGCCAGTGTAGACAGCACAGTACTGTTTTGAGCAAAAAAGCCCTGAAAGCTAAAATGGCGATAGGGGCTTTTTTGGGGAAAAGTGCGTCTAGATTGGCACGAATTCAGCATCTACCACCTTCCTAGGTAACCCATTCCAGTGCTTGTAGACACTCAAGGGCTGTCTCTACACTGGCATGATTTTGCGCAAATATTTTTAACGGAAACGTTTTTCCGTTAAAAGTATTTGAACAAGAGAGCATCTACACTGGCATGTGCTATTGCACAAAAGATGTGCTTTTGTGCAAAAGCATCCAAGCCAGTGTAGACGCTCTCTTGCACAAGAAAGCTCCAATGGCCATTTTAGCCATCGGGCTTTCTTTTGCAAGAAATTAATGTTGCCTGTCTACACTGGCTTCTTGCACAAGAATACTTGTGCAAGAGGGCTTATCCCTGAGCGGGAGCGTCAGAGTATTTGCACAAGAAGCACTGATTTTGTACATTACAACATGAGTGTTCTTGCACAAATACTCGTGGCCAGTGTAGACAGGCGGCAAGATTTTGCGCAAAAGCAACCGCTTTTGTGCAAAACCTTGCCAGTCTAGATGCAGCCTATTTGTTTCACCTAGGACGCTGTCCAGTCTGTGACAGAAGAATATGTGAGAATAGCTGAGGATGAGCTATTCCATGTAATTAGTTCCTTAGTACAGCAAATTAAACTGGCATGTTGTGTTTTATTTTGCTTAATAAACCTAATTGTTCTTTTTTGACCACTCACATCCTATTTTTATACCTAAAATGCAGATGTACCAGGCATTGCTCAGGTCTTTAATTGAAGGGTTTTTGGGTCTTTTTGGTGGGAATATAAAAGACAAATATACATGCTTTATTTTAGTGACTTTATTTTTGAACAATGAAGGGAAATGAAGGCTAAAAAGAGTGTTTAGGGATAAGGAGGGGCAGGGGCTGGCTGGCTTAGGGAAGAGGATTGGGAGATATACGGGGCTCAAGGCAGGGGGTGGGGGTCTCAGAGAAGAGGGAAGTAGGTGGGGGACTCAGTGGGAAAGAGGTGGGGGTTCAGAAGTCAAGGTAGATAGGAGGTGCAGGATTCAGGGCAGAGGACTTAGGACAGGGGATAGGGAGGAAGGGGTGTTTACCGGGACTACTCATGACAAAGGTGGTAGTGCTGCTCCAGCAGCAGCTTCTCCCAGGGTGGCATGATGATGCTCCCTGGGTAACGGTGCCTCCTGAGGGGTTGGGGGTGCATGGCCCAGAGGCTGGCTCCTTCCGGAAGGGGTGATCCAGATGTGCGCACTTTTCTGGTGGGGTTGAGGTTCTGCAGGGCAGGCCCAGCCTCCAGCTGTCCCCCACCTCCAAGCTGAAGCCTGTCTGGACGACCAACCCCCGGACTGCTGCAGCCCTCGCTCAACCTGCAGCTTGTCTGGGGGGAAGGACTTGTTTGGGGCAGTACCCTCCCCATCATGCAAGCCATTGTTGGGGGGTGGTGCCCCGCGTGCACAGTGTCTGTTTTACACTGTGCCGGGCTGTGATCCTACCTCTGTGTCAGTGCTGGAGGGGCTGGCTGGCAGGGCAGAATAAAGGGTTATGCAGGAGGGCAGGAAAGAAGGCTCAGTGGGTACAAGCTAAAAGTGAAGTGACTTTTGCAGCAACAATTTAATTCCACATTCCCCTGGGATGAACATGTTCCATTCTCAAGGTGACATTGAGTGCTGGGAGTGGGCCAGTGACCAAGGGCAGAGGAAGGCCACTTTGGACCAGCTGGCATGCCAGCAAGAGGCCATGTGCTCCTCCCTCACCTTGGTGATGGAGCCATGGCCTTGTGTATGGAGCAGGCCACCAGACTTCTCCTCCCCCCATGGCTTCCCATCCTAGTCCCTCCTACAGCCTCCGGGACCCCAGAACATGTGACATTGATGTGGGTGAAGCATTCCTTTTGATCCCCAAGGGCCTGCAGCACCATGAGGAAGTACCCTTCCCTGTTGATGTACTCTGAGGCTGCAGGCAAAGCCCCCCCTCCCCCCCAGTTGGGAAAGGCCATGGTGGGAAAGCCATCAACAATGGTGTCTATGTTCCCCAGAGTGACAACCCTTCATAGCAGCAGTTGGTTGATGGCCTTGGCTACCTGCAGGAGCAAGGCCCTGACTATGGATTTACCCATGCCAAGTTGGTTCCTGTTGGAGCGGTAGTGTGGTGAATTTCCACAGGGTGATGGCGACGTGCTTCTGCACAGGGCTGGAGAGTCTCAGACAGGGATTGTGATGTTCATGTAGAGCTGAACTGTATCTGCCCCTGCTATAACCTGCTAGAACTCATGCTCCTCCTGGAGCTGAGAGAGGGCATGTCTACACTACCACCCTAGTTCGAACTAGGGTGGTTAATGTAGTCATACGAACTTGCAAATGAAGCCCGGGATTTGAATTTCCCAGGCTTCATTTGCATGTTGCTGGGCGCCACCATTTTTAAATGTCTGCTAGTGCTGGCCCCGATCACTCAGCAGGCGCACAGAAATGGCCCGGCGGGGGGCCACTGTGTTAGTAGTAGAGTTGAGTGTGTCTAACATGTATTTAATTTTCTTGCTTTTCTATAGGCACTAGATACAGTGCTCTCATCAGAAAGAGGCATAAATCGGAACACTTATTAATAGTGAATTTAACATTGTATCTTCAACAATCTATGACATAAAGAAACAGAAAGATAAGTTGCGAGCATTTGTTGCCAAAAGTGAAGCACCTACTAACATACCAAGGTATGGCAAACTCTGAAAATGCCTAAGATGGCACAGTTGGGTGTAGCTTTGTTTAAGTGGTTTAGAGCAAGGCCTTCTGAAGGTAAGCCCATCACTGGGCCAATGCTCATGGAGAAAGCAAAATAGTTTCACAGTGAAATGAACATTAGTGAATCATGTGTGTTTTCTGAAAGATGATTGCGTAATTTTAGTATTGGCATGGCATCCATAAGTTAGACATCAGCGGTGAGCAAAAGTCTGCTGATCACGTGGCCACTGTGGAGTATAGCACTATTTTTGTGAGGCTGGTGGAGGAACATTGTTTGTCGCCTTCTCAAATGTACAATGCCGATGAAACTGGGCTCTTATGGCATTGTTTCCGAACTCTACTCTGGTTGCAGGTTGCTGCTCATGGCTTCAAAATGAACAAAGACCTCATTACAGTTCTCGTATGCACAAATGCGTCCGGCACGCATAAACTTATGCTTTTTGTTGTAGGGAAGTATAAAAAGCCTAGGGCCTTTAAAACTCTTACAAGCTTGCCAGTGTTTTACGAGGCATAGGGGAATGCTTGGATGACAGCAGAAATCTTTAAGGATTGGTTTTTTAATTATTTTGTTCCTTCAGGTAAGGAGAATTTTAGAAAGGGGAGGGCTATTGGAAGATAGTAAAGTTGTTCATTTGCTTGATAACTGGCAAGCGCATCCACCCACTTTGAAGCTTGTTAGCAGAAATATTTTCGCTACATATTTGCCAGTGAATGTGACTTCTTTGATCCAACCTATGGATCAAGGCATGATACAGAACTTTAAGTGTTTCGACAGGGGGGGCTATGTCTACACTGGCATGATTTTCCAGAAATGCTTTTAACGGAAAAGTTTTCCGTTAAAAGCATTTTTGGAAAAGCGCATCTAGATTGGCAGGACGCTTTTTCGCAAAACCACTTTTTGCGGAAAAGCGTCTGTGGCCAATCTAGATGCGGTTTTGCCCAATCACCATTTTAGCCCTCAGGGCTTTTTTGCGGAAAACAGTACTGTGTTGTTTACACTGGCCCTCTTGCGCAAATGATTTGCACAAGAGGACTTTTGCCCGAATGGGAGAAGCACAGTATTTCCGCAAGAACACTGACAATCTTACATGAGATCGTCCGTGTTCTTGTGGAAATTCAAGTGGCCAGTGTAAACAGCTGGTAAGTTTTTCCGCAAAATCAGATGATTTTGTGGAAAAACTTGCCAGACTAGACACAGCCAGGGTGTTTTGTCCAAAAGCTGGTAAACTCAGACTGCAGTGTTTCTGAATTCAATCTGAATTCAACCTTAAGGACGCTGCGTATACAGCTGCATTGGCTTGGAAAGACGCAAAGAAGGCTACGCTACAAAAATGTTGGAGGAAACTTTGGCCTAGCATGATGTTTTGTGAAGATTCTTTCAATGAAGAGGAATTTTGTGGCTTTAATGTTAGGCCTAAGCGTATTACTGACACACAAGAAACAATACATGAGTTGGTTTGGGAGGAGCATGCTTAAAAGCTGGTTCCCCCAGCACCCTCTCTGCAGTGCACAGGTGGGAGGGGAGAGGAGGCAGAGCCATAGTGGGAGACCAGGAGCGAGCTGGGACTCAGCAGTCAACTGTGACTGCTTTTTAAAAGCAGTAAGAGCCCCCACTTCCCTTTTGTGCCCCCAAGAGGGAGGCAGTGGAGCAGAGGCGTGTGAGATCTGGCCACAGAGAGCAAGGAATCCCTGAAAGTAAGCTTTGCAGCATGCCTGATGGAGCATCCACAGGAGTGCATCTGGGGGCTTTAAGTCCAAGGCAGGCTCCAATCAGTGTGGGTGCACTATTTTGAAATAATTCTGACGAATTTCTATGCTTCCCCATAGTAGGGAGACCCAGGTTCGATTTTGTAAAATCTGAAGTTATGATGTCAAATTTACTTATTTCAGAATAATTTCCTAGCATAGACATGACCCAACAGAATCTGGTCCGATAAAATATATAACCTCATCTACCGTGACTCTCTAATATCCTGAGCCCAACATGGCTTCAATAGCTGCATCCAATAAGGCATGTCTTGTCTCATTTTGACCTCTAGGTGGCAATATCTGTCCGTTACACTGTGCATAGCTGGTGCTGGTGAGCAGGTTTCCAGTGTGTGATGGAATTAGAACTACAGGGTGACTCTGTGCTCTCTGTGCATCTGCCGTGAACAGAAGGAAGAGACCATGCAGAGCACAGGAAGTTTTGCTCCTGCACACATGGTGGGTTTCACCCTGAAGATACACACTGGCCCCACGCCTCTGCTCCTCATGCACAGGGAGAATAGACATATGCGTGTGATAGAAGTTAAATAAATAGTTAGACTATAACACACCACAGGACTCTTTGTTGTTCTTTCCATATTTTCCAGTTAATTGCCTCTTCAAGGTGTCTCAGGGTTTCCCAAGCAAAGACAACAAAAACATTTGCAAACTGTGAAACAACAGAATGGCCAAATTAAAATAAAAGCACTTTGGTATCCTGCAGGAGATTTAAACATTGTATGTGCTGTGAATTGGGGATGAGGCTGTATTTCTGTTCAGACTGACCCCTGGGATCAGAGTTTGTTCTGAACAAATACTCATGGCCTGCCCCCTCCTTTCTACAGCCCTTGGAAATACACCAGCAATCGACCGAATGGACCATGAGGTGCATCTGTTCTGCACACATTTACTCTCAAATTTGCTCATAGCAGGGTGTCAGGATACTTGTTTCCCATCTTCCCAAACCGCAAGGTAATTGCTCTATCAGACCGTCCTGGTGTAAAATCCATGGGAGATTTGCTAAGCAACAGGGCTATTAACATAGGGCAGGAAGCACACGGAGAAACAGGACACTACAGCGTATGCTCTGGAGTTCAGTGTTTTGGTGAAGGGGTCAGGGTGTTAAATGAGGCCAATTACATTCCACCAACATGAGAGTTCTAGATTTAAGAAAGTGATGATTGTGATGGAAAATGACCTCACTTCCCACCAAAGACAGCAACTGACATTGCTTGAATACACTGCTCTTGTCTCAACTCCAGGTTACTTCTTGTGGATTTGAGCCTATTGACCTTAAAATGAAAAAAAAACCCACCATCTTTAAATGCTGACAATTAACATGATCTTGCATCATTGGACCAGAGGGAGCTTTGACCTTGAGTTCAATGACTATAGGATCGGGACTTATTTCGTATTCCTTGGCTATGTCCACATTGGGAAGGTTTGACAACAAACGTGCTGTCGACATGCAAAAGTTGCCAAAAGTGAAAACCAGTCAAACTGTTTTTTCTGCTCCCATTGTCGACATTTCATGGCCACATGGCCAGCACCCTGTCAACAGCAAAAGCAAAGCAATGTGGGTTGGCATCCTGCAGTGCAGTGTTGTGGGAAAGCAGAGCTGATCCCTGCACTTCTTGGGTTTCTCTCTTAGCTCTGTGAGATCTCCCTGCTAAGAAATGGCAAAGCAGCACAGCATCTGTCCCCCTCCTCCTACAGCAGCAATCTGCCTACTGCTCTGTTCCTGTGTGGAGTAGAACAGAAGCATCCCAGAGATTTGATCTTTGTTCCCCCAAACGAAGCAGCTCACTCAGCTGTCACATACTGCTTGGAGCTGTGAAAGAGCTGAGATGCATGCCTGAAGGGCAGCAGAAAGCACAAAACACTGAGCAGAGTCATCAGAGCAGGCATTGTGGGATATTAGAAGAAGCCAGTTCTATTAACAAAGCACTTAGCAGAATCCTCACTGGCACTTTGTCAACAATAAAGAGAGGGGAAATGACAAAACTCTCTTGCAGGGGTTGAAGGGTTTTTGTCCCTAAAACTGGACGCTTTTCTCAAGAAACGTTACATTATAGTGTAAACACACTATTTTGTTACCAAAAGACAGGTTTTGTGTCAAAAATGTGCCAGTTTAGACAAGTTCTTGTACTGCAACAGTGACTCATCTTAGTGCCTAGCAAGCACTCTGCAGGCTGCACAACAAATTGTTTCTTTGCAAAGGGCTGGGGAGCTCTCTGCAATGTTCCAAGAGGAAAATAAATCTCTCTCTGATTCCAGCTACCTACATATTTACCTGGCTTTCAACACCAAAAGCAAGTGCCCCTTTTAACACTCTCTTGTTCCTCTGAGAGACAGGAGGGTGCAGGTGTCAGGAAGAATCCAGTTAGCAGGCAGGTCATTTGCATAAGGGGATGTTCTCCGGTGCTGGAGGTTTAAAGGAGAATCGAAGGGTCCCAGGCACAGACCTTTCAGGAAGCCGAGCTCATCTGGATCCACCATGGCCTGGGCACCTCTGCTCCTTGCGGTGCTCACCTACTGCTCAGGTGCTCAGAGGGCGGGGGATTAATATACACTGTGCTTCAGGAAGCTCTTTTTTTGGGCTTTCCCTCATTCATTTCCCCTTTCTCGATTCTCTTTCTGTGTTCATTCGGACGTGATAATTGTTTAATTCCTGTCCTTGTTCCAGGGGCCAGCGCCCAGCCCACGCTGACTCAGCCGCCTTCAGACTCAGTGTCCCTGGGAAACACTGTGAAGTTCTCCTGCACCCTGAGCAGTCAGCACAGCAGCTACGTTGTTGGATGGTATCAACAAAGGGATGGCCAGGCCCCTAAGTTCCTTTGGCACACTTCCGGCACCAAAGGAGAAGGGGTCCCAGATAGATTCACTATTTCTGACTCTGGAGCCATTCGCTATTTAACCATCACCAACGTCCAGCCAGAGGACGAGGCCACTTACTACTGTGGTGCATATTACAGCATTGGTAGCAGCTACGGGTAACTCACCATGTCACAGTCAGAGGGGGAACTGAGACAAAAACCCTCCCTTCTCCAGCCTCGCTCTGCTGGATCCCACACTCTCTGCAGAACTTTGCATTTTACTTTCAATAAACCAGCTGATGTTTGGTCACAGAGAGTTCCAGCTTCCCACAGTCTGAGAGGAGACTTCTGTGTCATGATTATGAGGGTTAGCCAGCAGCCTGGGGATTAAGGGGTTAACTACACCTAGCCAGGTGGAGTGACCAATAGGAATGAAGGTGGGATTTTTCAAACTGGGACAAAGGAATTTGGGTTTTTTTCTTTTCTCCCTTTTGTTGGGAGTTCTCTGCAGCTACAGAGAGGGACAAGCATGTCTCTCTCTCTCTCCAAGACATCATTCTTCATTTTCTGTAAGTAGGGTAAAGTTTAGGTAGTTTCGTTAGGTTTTATTGTGTTATGGATTGGGTATGGGATCTGAGATCTGGCACTGCCTAAAAGATGTTTTGGCTTTTCTTTGTAACTAAGTTCTAGGCCCATGGAGTTTCTCCATGAGTATATTTTGTTACCTTCCTCTCTAGTCATTATACTTGCAACCAGAATATTGTTGTAATAATAAAAGTTCTTTCTTTTCTTTTATTAACCTGGCAGTGGTTAATGGTGTGCCCTGATTTTTGTTTTAGGGGGAAGATTTCCCAAATGATCTTTCCCCTGGTTTCTTTAGCAACATTTGGGTGGTGGCAGGGGAAGTTTTATTCCCAAGATCTAGGTTTTTAAGATCTTGGGGGAAGTTTTATAACAAAGCCTGGTAGATAAAGCTTTGGGGTACACTTGCTGGCCCCCACTTCTGCATTTATCATGCCAGAGTGGGGAAGGAGCCATGACAGTCTGCTCCTGCTCCCGCTTCACAGCCTCTGCAGAGGGGCAAAACAGCTTTTACATGCAGCTTCCTTACTTGGCCTCTGCAAGAGGCATAGACAGCTCAGTCTCCTGCTGTCAACAGCCCAGACCTCGCTTCCCAAAGCCCTCACTGACAAGTAACAAGGAGGTGTTGTAACTTAAAAAACAAGAATCGGTCGCTGCTGAGGAAATGCTATTCATTCATGACATTTCACCCACATATTGACCAAAACATTCTCTGCTCTGGTTCTTTGCGGTGGACTTTCTCTTCCATGCACAATGGCTGATCTCCCACTTAAACAGAGAGATGGGTCTCAGAGACAATTAGAGAATAGGATAAATCACAGCAGGGCTTACTGCCTGTACTGATAAATTGTCCCTAATCTACCACCGTTTTCCCACCCACTACTGTGAGTTGCCCAAGGTCTCTCTTCAGAGTTTAGCAGCAGGAAAAGGACAGGAGGTTTGGAAATCGATTAATATATATTATCACATTTTTTTACCTGTGCCCTTTTTCTGTGTTGTAAACGATTCCACTGAGCATCACTAATAACGTGGGTATCACCGTCGTTCTCATCTTGGTGTCCAGATGGAGGTGTTGGCCCTCTACACTGTGCATTGCAGGTGTGGAAGGGCGAATTTCCCTGTGCGAGGGAATTGGATGGACACTGGCTGGTTCTATCACCCTGTACTTGTGCTGTGAGTGGAAGCAGAATGTGCGAAAGGGGAAAGTTTTTCTGCAGCACACGTGGCAGGTTTGACCATGAAGGCAGTCACTAGCTCCATTCCGCTGCTTTTCATGCTCAGAGAGCGCTCACATGAACTCCCCCCTCCTGACTTTGAGCATCTGTACATATAAGGAAAGAGATAGCTGCATTCCTCCTTCAGGGCCATCGCCACCATCCTGCAACCAAAGAGCTGTGAACTAGGCCAAACTTTTCCTCAGGTGAATTGATTTGGGCTCTGTCCAGGGTAGCTGGTTTCTGTGGAGGGGGGAGGCCCAGAACTCCTGGGCTATGTCTAGACTGGCATGATTTTCCGGAAATGCTTTTAATGAAAAAGTTTTCCATTACAAGCATTTTCAGAAAAGAGTGTCTAGATTGGTGCGGAGTTTGCGTTATAACTATGCGCTTTTGCGGAAAAGCGTCCGTGCCAATCTAGATGCGCTTTTCCGCAAGAAAGCCCCGATCGCCATTTTCGCGATTGGGGCTTTTTTGCAGAAAACAAATCTGAGCTGTCTACACTGGCCCTTTTGCGCAAAACTTTTGTGCAAAAGGGACTTTTGTCCGAACGGGAGCAGCATAGTATTTCCACAAATTTCTTACATGAGATTGTCAGTGCTTTGGCGGAAATTCAAGTGGCCAGTGTAGACAGCTGGGAAGTTTTCCCGGAAAAGTGGCTGATTTTCTGGAAAAACTGGCCAGTTTAGACACAGCCCTGGAGCAGAGCAGGAAAGAGGGCTAGGCTACAGCTGGGCCTATGAAGGGCTGGAAGTGAGTAAGGGACGGAGGCTGAATGAGCTTTGGAGAGGGAAAAGCACTCTTGAATACAATTAGGGCTTGTGGTGGGGCCTGAGCTCCTAGCCCCTAGAAGGGAGCAGACCTGACTGAAATGTGAAAACTTCTAGAAAGAGGAGAGCCAGAGACCCTGGGAAGGGCAGCTCTGAAGCCTGCAAGGAGGGAATGTTTCTCCATGGGTACATCTAGACTACAGGCTTTTGTTGACAGATACTGTCGACAAAGCTTCTGTCGACAAAGAGCATCTAGCCTGCATCCAGTTCTGTCAACAAAGCAAGCTGCTTTGTCAACATGACAGTGTAGATGCAAAGGACAGTGTAGATGCCAGCACACGAGCCCCAGTGGGAGTTTTTCCAACAACTTCCCTGTTTCTATCCCAGCTCCAGCTATGTCCCCTGATGTGAGCCCCCTGGGCTGTGTCCTGTTCCCTTGAGTCTGAACCAGCCAGCCTAAGGCATCCCACCAGAGACATGAGAGAGCCTCCTCCCCATCCACACACGCCTTCTCAGAAAAAGGCTTCTTCCTCATAGAAAGAGGAAAACCCCTCTGTTCTTTCGATTTTCTTTCTGCAGAACACAACTGCAGTGTGGTCATTCTGTAGTTTTGCTGGAAAAACAGCTGTTTTTCCAACAAAACACTGTAGCATAGACGTACCCTTTTGCAGCAACAGTTTAATTCCACATTCTCCTGGGATGAGAACGTTTCATTCTCAAGGTGACATTGAGTGATGGGAGCGGGTCAGTGCCAGGGAGAAGTGGAAGGCCACCTGGGACCAGCTGGGACGTTATCATGAGGCCACGTGCTCCTCCCTCACCTGAGTGATGGAGTGAATGGACTCGTGCATGCAGCCGTCTCCCACCCCCCCCATGGCTTCCTCTTCTAGTCCTTCTGATGGTCACTGGGGCTCCAGAACATGTGACGGTGGGACTCTTGGGCAGCCAAAGTCTCCTGGCAAACCAGAGGCAGTTGCCAGCCCCAGTCCCATCCCTGAGCCTCCCTCCCCACTTTTTTCCCCTCCCCGATTCCAGGATCTTTCCCCAGACCCTGTCTATTGTATAAGCCCCCCAACAAAGAGGGAATGAGGGTCCCTGCATGGAGAGCCACAGGGGACAGTCTCACAGCTGGCCTTGGACAAAACTCTCGTGCAAACCCTCTTTGATGAGGACACCCCCTTAATGTTCTCTCCTGATGATGCTGGTGTCCGGCTGCTCGTATTCCCTAGACAACCGTTCAGCCTCGGCCCCCCCCATCCTATAAGAAAAGTCTCCCCCTGGCCTTTGCAAAGGTTGAGGAGTACCCAGCACATCGCTGCCATAGAAGGGATGTTATGATCACCGAGTTCCAGGCAGGTGAGGAGACTCCTGAAACTCCCCTTTAAATGGCTGAACACACTCTCCACTATTATGCGGCACCTCTCAGGCTGGTGTTGAAGTGCTCCATGGTGGTGTCCAGGCTGCCTGCATAGGGCTTCATGAGCCAGGGGATTGAGGGGTAGGCAGCATCGCTCAGGATCATGAAGGGCATGTCCACCTCCCGGATTCTGATGGTGCGGTCGGGGGTAAAAGGGCCAGTGTGTATGTTTTGGAACAGGCAGAAATTCTGGAAGATCCAGGTATGGTGCATCTGCCCCAACCAGCTGACACTGATCTCGGTGAAGGGTCCCTTGTGATCCTCGAGGGCCTGCAGCACAGTGTGGAAGTGCCTCTCCCTGTTGATGTAATCGAAGCACGGTGGTTGGGGGCCAGAGTGGGGATGTGTGTGCTGTCTAAGGGCCCTCTGCAGTTGGGAAAGCCCAAGGCAGGAAAGCCATCGACAATTGTGTCTACGTTCGCCAGCGGGACAACCTTCCGTAGCAGCATGTGATGTATGTCCTTGGATACCTGCAGGAGCACGGCCCTGACTGTGGATTTCCCTGTGCCATGCTCGTTCCACATGGATTGGTAGCTGTCCAGCATGGTGACCTTCCATGGGATGATGATTACGTGCTTCTGAATAGGGTTGGTGAGTCTCAGTCAGGTATCCTGTCATCTGAGGGCAGGGGCGAGCCACTTGCAGAGCTCGAGGAAAGTGGCCTTCTGCATGAGAAAGTTTTTCAGCCACTGCTGATCATCTCATCTCTGCATGATGATGCAGTTCTACCAGTCAGAACTGGTCTCCCACCCTAAGGCACTGTATATGGGAGGCTAGGGGAAAAGTAGCCTCCTCCGTGTTTGGACCCTTGGATTTCATACTTAAGGTCTGCTTAAAGCCTATGACCTGATTCCAGAAGCAGTTCTTATATGGAATAGTGTTTGAGCTGCTTGCAGCTTTGCCCTTGGGGTGGATGTTTGTTATAAAAAGAGTGTTTAAGAATAAAGTGATTAAGAATAACAAAAGTCTGGGCACTGAAGTAACTGAAATATCCTCAGATTATCATGACAATATTGCAAAGTACGCCACTTAAAAGATAAGGGGGGGGAGGGGAATAGGAATGAGTGTTGTGCTGCATGGATCTGCATGTAGATGACTATTGTTAAACTTCTCACAAATGTTTTTGAAAATAGGGTGAAGAGTAACTAATCTAAAGATGGCTGCAAGAGTTACAAAGGAATCTCAGAAAACGGGGTGATTGGGTAATACAAAGGCAGATGGAATTCAGTGTCGGTAAGTGCAAAGTAATGCACATGGGAAAATATAATCCTAACTATAGTTACAAAAATGATGGGGTTTAAAATAGCTGTTACCATTCAAGAATGAGGTCTTGGAATCATTGTGGATAGTTCCCTGAAAACATCTGCTCAAAGTGCAGTGGCAGTCTAAAAACTAAAAAGCTAACGGAATATTAGGAATCAGGGAAAGAAATAGATAAAAAGACGAAACACCATTTCGCCTCTATATTAAGTCATTGTATGTCCACATCTTAAATGCTGTATGCAGATCTGGTAACCCCATAAAAAAAAGATATGTTGGCTTTGAAAAAGGTAGACAAAAGGGAACAGAAATGATCAGGGGTGAGAGTGGGGGAGTGTGGGATGTAAGTGATTACTCAAGTAGTCAACTACTCGATAAACTTGGGCTTATCAGGTAGTGTAATCAACACTCAACTACTCACTTTCCTCTCCCTTGCTGCCTCTGTATCTGAGGTAGCAATGGGGGGGTGGAAGCAGGAGCTGCTTCTGGAAGAAACTGGTGTAAAAGCTGGTTCCCCTCGCACCATCTTTGCAGTGCACGGGTTGACGGGAGGGGAGGCAGAGCCACAGTGGGGGAGCAGGCGTGAGCTGGGAATCAACAGCCCACTGTGATTCTGCTTTTTAAAGGCATTAAGAGCCCCCTGCATCCCTTTTTGTGTCCCCCGAGGGGGAGGCAGTGGAGGAGAGGCGTGTGAGATGTGGCTGTAGAGAGGAAGGATCCCCTGAAAGCATGCATCGTGGCTTGCCAGATCGAGAAGCCACAGGAGTGTGTCTGGGGGCTCTAAGTCCCAGGCAGGCTCTAATCAGTGTGGATGTACTATTCTGAAATAATCCTGACTAATTTCGATGCTTCCAGCTGGTGGGGAAACGCTGGTCCAATTTTGTGAAATGCAGAGTTATTATGTCGAATTTAATTATTTCCGAGTAATTTCTTAGTCTGGAGAAGCCAAAACAGAAGCGGGTTCAATAAAATATCTGACCTCACCCACCTTGATTCTCTAATATACCGAGCCCAACATGGCTTCAACAGCTGCATCCAATTAGGCATGTCCTGTATGATTTTGACCTCTAGGTGGCAATGTCTCTCCATTACACCGTGCATAGCTGGTGCTGGTGAGCAGGTTTCCGGTGTGTGTGGAATTAGATAACTGCAGGGTGACTCTGTGCTCTCTGAGCATCTGCTGTGAACAGAAGGAAGAGACCATGCAGAGAACAGGAAGTTTTGCTCCTGCTCACATGCTGAATGCCCCAGGCCTCTGCTCCTCATGCACAGAGACCACTCGCCCCTGTGTCCTGTACCTCACCTAGCAGAGCTGGTTTTGTCCCATTGACAGTGATCACTGGCAATTCTCCAGTGCAGATTCTCATTGGAAGACTCCATTTTAAATGCCTCTTTGAAGCTATTTCATTTTAAATCAGAAACTCGTTTCTTGTGATTTTGCCTCTATGTCCTTTGTCTAATGAAGATTTCTCAGGAGTGTGGCAGTCCAGTAAGCAATGGAAGCGCAGCAGCACTCACCCAGAATATTTCTTTAGTTTGCTTTAGATTGATTCTGAAAGCACCACTCCAAGCTGTGCATGAAACACATACAAACTCCAAAACTGAACAAACCATATTTTCCAGTCTCAATGGGGTAGCCCTGTTAGTCTCTACCTGTAAGAATAAAAAAGAGTCGCCCAAATAAATCTTGTTAGGTTACGTCTACACTAGTCCCCTAGATCAATCTAGGGAGGCTAATGAGGGTGACTGGAATTGCAAATCAAGCCCGGGATTTAAATATCCCGCACTTGATTTGCATGTTCCCACTGATCGCCATTTTAGAAATTGACTAGCCCACCTCTACACGCGTCAGTGAAATGGGATTCTGATTTAAAGCCCTAACTCGAATTAGCTGGTATTCCTCCTGCAATGAGGTTCATCAGTCCAAAGCATCCCATGAGACACATGAGGGAGGGAGGTGACAGCTGACCCCAGAGTGACTGGGACCATAAACGCTCCCTGCTCATTCAGTGCCAGCGGGTGTGCGCAGGGATTCCAGGGATTTCGGGGGTCAGTGACATTCCATCATAATCCACATGTGCTGTGTTGGTAAATGGGCAATTGCAGATGTACTGGTTGGAGCTCCGTGCACTGTGATCATATTGGTTTCCTTGGAGCAAATGATGCAGCAGAGGGACCTTTGTTACTTGTGTCCCATGGGACGGTACACAGTGATTCCACGCAGCCAACCTGCAGGGCTCAGCTTTAAGAAGGAGGCAGATTTGCATGAAGGGGCTGGTCTTCAGCGCTGGGGGTTTAAGAGACAATCGGAGGGTCCCAGCCACAGACCTGTTTGCTTCTGGAAGCCAAGTTATTTTTCATCTACCATGGCCCGGGCCCCGCTGCTCCTCGCCCTGCTCACTTACTGCTCAGGTGAGGGGTTGTTGGCTGCACTGACACAACATGGAGGCCACCTGCAGGTGAGGAGGTTTGTGTGTGAGGAGCCGGAGTCCTTGTGCTGAGTTTGTTTGTTCCGTTGCTTTCAGGGGTCAGGTCACAGCCTGTGGTGACTCAGGAGCCCTCCATGTCGGTGACCCCAGGAGGGTCCGTCACGCTGTCCTGCAGCCAGAGCACTGGAGCCATCACCAGCAGCATCTATCCTGGCTGGTTCCAGCAGAAACCTGGATCAGCTCCTCGGCAGCTTATACATGGGACAAGTACTAGACCCTCCGGGATCCCTGCCCGGTTCTCTGGGGCCATATCCGGTAACAAGGCTGCCCTGACCATCACCGGTGTGCAGGCAGAGGACGAGGCTGACTATTACTGTTTTGTAGCAACTGGTGGTGCTCATCACAGTGATACAGCCAAATGGGGAACTGAAATAAAAACGTCTCCTGTCTTCACCCCTCATCCTTGGCACTACGCTGGCTGCACACTTTGGATCCTCTCTATGACCGATGAGACCCTGATTCTGCACAAGCTCAGCAGTTTGGTCCTGCCTGCGGTTTGTGAGACACGTATTTCTCCTCCTTTGGAATTTCTGCCATCCATTTTCATTAGCGGAGGGTGCTGCTCCATACACTAGGCATTCACTGAGCTATTCTTATGCTCCCTGGTCAGCCTGTGTAGTACAAGGAACTTTTTCTGACATAGCTCCCCCTGGTACAGACTCTCCACCTGGGACAGTCTGGGAGCAGATTGGCACAGGTGTCACAAGCATTCCATAGCTTTATGGAAATATACTTAGCATTATGACATCACTTCGACATGTTCTCTGCAAAATGCACCATGTAAGCCAGTGTTGGAAAGCTTGTAATCTGCTGAATTTGATTCTCCCATTTGGATGTGTGTATCGTTCCTGGATGTGAAGTTAGGCAAATGGGGTATATATAAACCTGTGTAATTAGCACTGTCATGCAAAGCGAGGGCCATTAGTGATACTTCTGAATCTTGATGCTCTTTGGCAGGGAAATAATAAACTGTATAAGGACTTGTTTGTCTTCTCAGCCTGGGGTCAGGGGCTATGGTTGGTCTTACCAAGACATGAAGCTATGTCACTTCATGCCGGGCACCAACTTGGCCAGTGCTGAGGGGTATGCAGGAGAGAAGAAAAGGAAGTTGAGTGTTATTTCACTTTTCCACCAAAAATGAGAAAAAAATCTCAACTGAACACAAAGACTTCCCATCTTTGGCAAAATCTAAATAAAGGTGGGAAGCCAAACAATAGGTGGCTGCAGCCAAATGTCAAGATACCCCAGCTTACTATCCAAGATGGCTACAGAATAGCTGAGGGTGAGCTATTCCATGTATCCAGTTTCCCAGGGCAGCAATTTGAACTGGCGTTTTTTGTTTTATTTTACTTAATAACTTACTTTGTTCTTTTTTGACCACTCACATTAAGAAGCCGATGTTCCAGGCATTGCTCAGGTCTTTAATGGAAGTTTTGGGGGGGGGTATTTTAGGGGGAATATAAATGAAAAATACATACTTGCTCACAGACATTTACCTCCCCCCACCCCCCATCTCCCTTCTGTTCTGAAATTTGATTTGTCTTTTTCATATGTGTTCATTTTTTTAATTGTATCCTTTGGTATATATGATTGTGACAATTTTCTTCCACTATTTGATCTGAGGAAGTGGGCCTGGCCCACGAAAGCTCATCACCTAATAAACATATTGTTAGTCTTTAAAGTGCTACATAGTCCTGTTTTTTGTTTCTGCTACACCAGACTAGCACGGCTACATTTCTATCACTCTTCCAGCTCTATGAGTCTATGATTTTATGACTTTTGTTTATTAGCAAACCTAGTGTAAGTAATGGTTATGGGGGGGTATGGACTCCTAGCATATCTCTTTTATGTGGGCAAAAATGAGCTGGAGGAAAGTGGCCTTCTGAATGCAGAAGTTCTCCAGCCACTGCTGATCATCCCATCCCTGCATGTCTCTGCAGTTCAGTTTCCCATCCATGCGCACCATTAATGGGGGTCAATGGGAGCAGTAGCCGCTTCTGAGTTTGGACCTTTGGTTTTCATACTTGAGCTCAGCTTAAAATTCTTGTCCTGACTTCTGAGGTAGTTCTTCAATGGAATTGTGTTTGAGCTGCTCCCAGCTTTGCCTTTGGGGGAGGGAGTTTGTTCTAAAAAGAGGAAGGCAGGTGATTAAGAGTAACAAAAGGCTGGGCATTCAGGTAACTGAAGTATCCTTAGTTTGTTATGAAAACATTACTTAAAAGATAAGTGGGAAAAAAGAGTAGGAATCAGTGTTGTGGGACAGGGATCTGCATTTGGATAGAGTCCTGTGGCACCATAGACTAAAAGATTTACATGGGCATAGACTTGTGCCCAAATAAATCTATTAGACGATAAGGCACCACAGGACTATTCGTTGTTCTTTCCATATTTTACAGGTAATTGCCTCTTCCAGGTGTCTTACAGTTTCTCAAGCAAAGACAACAAAAGTGGGATGGAGAATTCTTTGCACCAC